GATTGAAAGTTGGGTGTTTGTTCAGAAGAGTGAAGCATGATGGTCTGGAAATGGCAGAGGCGTCTGTACCTTAGGGGAGGGAGGGGTTAGCCAAAAAAAAGAAACATACTCTCCTTTCCTCTAGGCCCATTGTATTCAGCCATTTTTGCAGTTGCTATAAAGAAGTACCTGAGGCTGGGTAATTTGTAATGAAAAGAGGTTTAATTGGCTTACAGTTCTGCAGGCTGTACAGGGCCTCAGGGAGCTGTTACTCAAGGCAGAAGGCCCAGTGAGAGTGGGAGCAGAGAAAGAACGGGGTGGCACCACAGACTTTTCAACAACCACATCTTGTGAACTGAGCAAGAACTCACTTATCACCAAGGGGATGGTGCTAAACCATTCATGAGGGGTCTGCCCTATGATCCAGTCACCTCCCACCAAGCCCCACCTCCAACACCCTCCAACACGGGGGATTACATTTCCGCATGAGATTTGCAGGGGCACAAACATCAAACCACATCACCCAGTGACATCTCCGCTGTGGGAGTTAAAGAAAAAAGTGGAGAGGGTTGCTGGGGAAGAATTGTCATTAGAGGTAAATCAAGTTTTCATTGAGCAAAAAACTTTCAAAGAAGCGATCGAGACTATATAAGGGATTTTTGCTAGTGATGGCCTAATGCGTTTCTTGACCATTCTCATATTTGGCCTAATGTGTTTTCTTGCGTGTTATCAATATTAAAAGTTGTATCCATAAATGAAGAGATTTTTAGTGTTTTTCTCCTTTGCCATATGTTGGGCTTTTAGTTTATCCTTGGGAAATAGGACACGTCTTTGGTTAATAGACATTTGAGGTAGACGAAATGAAATGCTGCGAAAGCAATTCAGACGGAACTGACGGGTATGAGAATGGGACCCAGCTGCTCCCAGCTCCTCGGCTTGATGACAGTCTTGCAATAAATAATCAGAAACTGGGTGAAATGATAGCAAATGTCAGTTTTAAAGTTTTCACTTGTCAAAACTAAGATTGTCTTATCACCAAACCATTGCTGGACCTAATCATGCTAGCTTTTACCTTCCGTGCACTGAAAAACATTCTCTACCCTCATTTTTATTATGCTGAACTGTGTTATAGCACCTCACAGTAAATGTCCAGTCTATGCTTATGTTCATTACTGCTCACTTCATTTAATAAAGGAGGTTTAGTTTGGTCAGAAAGGAGCTGTTAACCCTTCTCTTTATTAGTCGCAGGACCTGTCATTTAGAGTTCCAAGTTAAACAATCGGGAACTGTCTCAGTCAAGGAAATCCCTTTCTGTGTTATGGTGAGGTTACTCATTTATCTGTGCAACAGAGATAAAATTCTCAAGAACATCAAGGTTGTATTTGTCTAAGGAGCCATTACGATCTAACTTCTGACCCTTGGAAAAAAGACTGAGGATCATTTAATTTAGTGCTGAGTTTCCAAGAAGCATTTGCCAATTTATTTTCAACAAAATGAGAAATTATGTTGACTACGGTGGGGCGAGATGCTGTGAAAGAGCCATGGAGGATGTCAGAGCTGCCAGGAGACCTGAGCAGCGTCTAGACCAGCCCCTGATTTGGCAGATGCACAGGAAGACCTCCACATGGAAGCCGCCCTCCCAGGGTGGCACCGCGGGTGGAGGCCCAGGCCTGGACTGACAGCTGACAGACATTTTTGTCAACAGCTTTAATTGAGTCTCAATTTCAATTCTCAAGACAAGAGAAATATTCTGTTAATACTTTAATAGCATTCTCATATTTAAAGCTATCATAAGTTAAGCAGAAGAGCAGTGTTTTTTTCTTTTGTTGTTAGTTTCTGCTGGTTTATTATCTTTTTAAATATAAAAATTGATCTGTTCTCTTTTCAGTTAGTCCTCCTCTTCTCACCATAACTGTATATTATTCTGTGAGGGAAAATTAGGACTACAGAAAGGAAACCAGAGGGAAACTAAGGCAGTCCCAGATCACTATGATCATGTGGCAGCATGTTTCATGTGGGCCCGGCTTCTGTTTCTGAGCACGAGGAAAGATCATTAAAGCCCAAGGGAGGGCAAACAAGAGAAATTCTGGAGGAGCAAAAGGCCAAGCCAAAGTGGGAACCAATCCAATAAGGTGGCCACCCGTGGTGAGCAAAAGCCACCTGTAGCGTTTGTGTTCAGCACATGGCAGTGGTAGTGTTCGGAGCTTTGAGTGTAGGTGCTGCCACTTACAAGTTATGTGACCCTGGGCAGATGGCTCAGCTTGGGCCTCAGCTGCCTCGTCTGTAAAAGCATGGAGTTTTTTTAGATTAGGTGAGCTTGTGCGTGTGAGAAGTTGTCAGTAGGGCAGTGGTGTGGCTCGCAATAACTGCATTCATCTCACACTCCTTTTCCTTCTAAATTGTTTTAGGAATGCCAGCCCTCAATTTGAAGACCATGTTTTAAAACTCTATAGCTACATGTACCTCTGTGGAAAAATTGCACATTGCTAGTTGGTATATTAGGTCAGCTATAGGAGGGACTATTCTGTAATGTGTGAAGCCAGCGGAGCTTAACACAGCACATTTCAGAGAGCTTATTTTATACAGAGAGCTCAAATCAACCACCATGTTACACTGCATTTAATTAACTTGTAAGGGTATGATTAAGCCAGGATAACAAGGTGGGGCCCATGTTCTACGTGTAGAAGAAATATTTTATCCTAAGGAATATTCCAGTCCAGGCATTTGTCTTTTATTTATTTATTTATTTTTCTGTGATGGAGTTTCGTTCTGTCGCCAGGCTTGAGTGCAGTGGCATGATCTCAGCTCACTACAACCTCCGCCTCCTGGGTTCAAGCGATTCCCCTGCCTCAGCATCCTGAGTAGCTGGGACTACAGGCGCCACCACGCCCAGCTAATTTATATATATATATATATATTTTATATATATATATTTAGTAGAGACGGGGTTTCACCATGTTGGCCAGGATGGTCTCAATCTTCTGACTTCAGCCTGCCAAAGTGCTGGGATTACACACGTGAGCCCCCGTGCCCGGCCCGGTGCAGGCATTTTTCATCAATACTTACTATATTTGTTTGAACTGCTTGTAGACACCTACATTTTTCCACCTGTTTCTTGCCTCTGCTTTGCATATACTGTTTCTTCTGCCTGGAAGACTTTTGCTGCCATTGCCTCTGTCCATTCCTTCTCCACCTGTCTTTACCTTCACCCTCCTGTTCCTTCAGAACACTGTGCAAGCACTGCATGCTCCAAGAAGCCATTCGTGACACACTGGAGTGATGGAGGTGCCCCTTCTCCGTATACCCACTTAACATATGTAACGTGAGGGTCTCCTCCAGGCCAGAAGGATGAGAACCAGGACATGCTGTCGTGGGAAACCAACTTCACTCAGGGAGACTAGCAGGGTTCTCTTTGGAAGTGGCATTTAGGTTAAGGGCTTGAGTTGGAAGTAGCCTACAGGAGAGGAGAGAAGGGCCTTCTAAGGGCAGAAGGAATAGCAAATGTAAAAACTCATGCCCACATTTTGAGATAAAAAGGAACATAGCTCCATTGCTTACACTTTTCTCATAGGAATGGCCATGCTGTGCTGTAGTCATTGAATGTGATGATTAGTCTCTGGTGTCATTTTCCTGAGAAAGAAGACGTTGGGAAAAACTCCGTGTGGGTGTGACCACAAGTCTGGCCTGTGTAGTCAAAGAGATTCAGTTATACCATTCTCCATGCAATTTAGGCTGACTTCTTAGCTCTTCTGGTCTGCGGTGTCCTTATCTGTCAAATGGGTATGGCAGTTTTACTCTCTGAGGCTAGGGGTGATGTGGGATCGCAGTGACTGGTGTTCAGTCGGCATTCACAGCATGCATCTGTGCTCCTCAGACTGTGACTTCCTGAGGTGTTAAACAGCTGAGCTGGATCGTTTTCCATTTTGATTAGAAACCTCTGTATTGTATGAAATTGGGAGAATGGGGATGTTTCTTTCCATGATAGTCTAAGATAACAAATTCAGGATGGTTGTTTCCCTACAAAATTAAGTCAAGTGGGAAAGAGGAAAGCCTGAGAGGGTCCGTGGAAACTCTTTCTCAGACACACAGAATGGTTATGGCTTAGTAATCTAGACTTTTCACAAGTCTGTTCCTGTAAAAAATTATTCCTAGTTCAAATATATTGTATATCTGTAGGCTGTTTTGCATCCTCTGCAAAATGGCAGAGGTAACTCTTCCCTCTTGCTGTCAGTGATGGCCCTTTCCTCATGTTCTCTCAAGGATGTTGTACATTGGAACATGGATTTGCCTGTACTTTGGAAAGATCCTTGGCCTCGTGTAACCAGACTTGTGACAAGATTGCAGAGATCCATTTCTCTGCTCTCCTGTCCCATGTGGCCATGGCTGCTGAGTCACCTTTCCTTTTCCTGGCAGTTTCTGGATGGTGATGCAGCAGTGCCGATGAATAAAAACATTTCATCTGGGCATTTGTTTTTAATGTATTATAAGGTACAGCACCCACAATTCATGCAGCAGCAAGTTCTCTGGTAGACAAGTGTATAAGAAGAAATAAAGTCTTTGCCTTCTGTAAACATCCCATCTATTGGAAAGGAAGTGTTTACCTCCTCCTCCACTCCCACAGTGCCTTGCACAGGCCCAGCCCTAGCTCTTGGCACACTGGGCTAGAATTGTCCAAACACATCCTCCCTCTCTGCAGACTCCCAGTCTTCCCAGGTCAGGTCCTGTCTTTGTATTCCCTCGTGCACTTTTAGGCACTTATCGTGTGTTGGGTGGCCAATTGTTGTGGTTAAAATGTCAAAACATGTTTATTATGTATTAAAATTAGGGAGCTAGACAAGGGGCCTTTGATAATCCTAAAGTTAACACTTCCGCTTTAGAACTCTGTGATCTCGGTGGGACTTCCTTTGAATGTTCAGTCCTGCGCTTCATTAGTTGTCTTTAAGTTTTACAGTACTTTATTGAATACTGTTGAAACTCACAGCCAGATGATTTTGTCCTTTGTTTTGTTTTGTTCACTGCAGTGGTGCTGATTACTATGATTACGGACATGGACTCAGTGAGGAGACTTACGATTCCTATGGTGAGTGACTGGCCAGAGCATGTGAAGAGAGGGAGGAGAGATGGCCATAGAAAGACCTTAAAGATCTTAATGGGAAGAGAAATTTATAAGGACATTTGGACTCTGAAACAGCAGCTTCCTGTCAATTCGTTTGTGCATATCTAGCTATTTTTAGAGGCTCCTTTATTATTTAAATATTTAAAGAGGACTAAAGACTTGCCGAAGATTGCATGAATCCAGATTCTGAACTTCAATGTTATGTTTAGGTTGATTGTCGTGTGCTGATTTTCTCACAGAGTAGTTTTTCAAACTGCAGACACTTGATAGCTGGGTCTTTTTGAAGTGTCTTTGTTTCTTGACAGTGAAGGGAAATGAAGCAATTGAGACTACTTCTCTGAAGTGATTCTCCCACCTTCATCTTTATATTTTAATTCATTTCCAATCTCAAACCTTCTGAAAAAGATTACACTGGGAATCATTTCATAAAGGTTACAAAAGCACTGAACCAAGGAGGAGATACAGGGTCTGTAAGCTTTACAGGACGGCAGCTAAACCCCTCTTAATTCAGTGGAGCTGGTAGAGATGCTGGGGACTTCATGTCCAAAGTCTCACCATGCAGAAGGATGACAGGTTTAATTAAAAGAATTGGCGGCAGCAACATAACAGTAGTAAGAAGAGCCTTTGCCGCAGGGCAAGGAGATCAGAGAACATGAAGCTTCAATCAGTTGCAAAGCTCTGATGAATCCCTGGTACCTGGTGCAAGTGTATCAGGATTGTGGTTAAGGGATGTTAGGACATTTCTCTTAACAGAACTGAAAAACCATTTTCTGGTGTTAAACCTTTTGAAGTGCATTTTGTTGTATCACCTGCCCGAAGCTGTGATGATTGCACCTTGGATTTTTTTTTTTTGGTTATCCGTAACAAACACTTAAGAGAAATATGTTGGTTTGCTGAATGCAGGCTACTTAAATTGATGCAAGTTAGCTTGAGGGAATGATGTTGATTGCATGTTTTGTACCAAAAGAAGAGGTCATTTTAAGCATTTTTCCTTCACAGCTTTTTAAATTGGTCTCTGTGGACACATGGCTTTTAAATTGCTGTATGTTGCAGCAGGGATGTTAACTGTTTGATGTCAAAGACTTATAGATAACTCATTAAAAGTTATCTTCAGGCTGAACAGGTGTTTAATTTCAGGAGATAAAGGTGATAGAATGTCCTTGGTTATTAATACCATTGTCCAGTACAGATTTAGCATTATGATGAATGAAATCTGACATTATGTCGTTAAATTTATTTCATATTCATGAAGTGTTATTGAGAAGTGAAGTTCAACCCAATGCAACTTTCCTTCAGGCTTTCCGTGAAAGTGCCTGTGAAAAGTGAGATCATGTTTCCCTTTCTCAGTCTGCCCCTTCCCATTTTGCTCTCCAGTTTTCTTCTCCTCTGTCTTCACAGATGTTCATCTGTGTTCTTTCTTTGTTTTTACTGTTGGAAAACATCTAAGTGATCCTTTTCCTGTTCTCTTTTTCACTCATAAATGTCCAGATGTTTAGCAAAAGGCAATTCTCTTTGCTACTTGAACTTGTAAACTGTTATTAAATGAGTAACCAAAAGGAAAGTCCTTGCAAAGTTGGTTGCCATTTCAGATACAAGAACTGTTTTTCTTCTCATGCTGACAAATTTTGCGAGTGAGATGATTATTTTTCCTTGTGTTTATAATTTATTTAAGTAAATTCCTTGTTTGTTTTTCTTTTCAGTACACCAGGGGTATATATTTTCAATATGACATGTACCTTTGGTTCAGGGCTAAGTTAGAGTCTGAAAAATGAAGCCTGTGGGATTCGTGGCAGCGATCTAATTGTGGTTCATCTTACTGATTGTAGGACAAGAAGAGTGGACTAACTCAAGACACAAGGCACCTTCAGCGAGGACAGCAAAGGGCGTCTACAGAGACCAGCCATATGGCAGATACTGATTGTACTGTCTGATGTTGTGAAATAGCCAATCTCCACCAGTCCTGTATACTGTTCAAAGTAATTTTTTTCTATGAACAATCCCTTTTTAAATAAATCAAAATGCTTAAAATCTGAATGGATGGAACTTAAAACTACTTTGTTGAAACATCAACCTGGGCAGAAAAAAAAAAAAAAAAAAAAAAAAAAGACATGTAAAATTTTGTTATTTCCAGTCTGTATATGAAAAAATAGGTCATCAAAAGGAAAAAAAATAACTTTGATTAACTAGTGTTAAACAAAAAATAGGTTTACTAAATATGTTAATCTATTCTTTTAACATAAGCCTCACCTTTCATTTTAAAGGTTTCCATAGAATTTAGTTATTTGATCTTTCAGCCATATGCTAGTTTTTTTTTCTCTTGCCAACATGCGTAAAAAGGGAAGCCAATTACAAGTGCTAATAATGTGGTATTCTTTTGTAACTCAAGTCTTGAAATGTTCTGTAGTGTTAAGCAAAGTCTCCTCTTGCTTGATACTAAATAAACTTTTGAAAGAAATTTTGTGTGTGTGAGCTAACAATTTCATGGGTTTTTTTTTATTTAAAAAGGCCTTCATAAATAGTTGTAAACAGGGAAAGAATTCATTTAACAATGCTTGTCATAAAAGGGTCACACTAAACATTGTACAACTTATTTTAAAAATGGTATAAAATTAAATGTACCATTATATACTCACCATAGACTTAAATGCTGTTTAAAGAGTCCAAATGGTATCGAGCTGCTTGAGTGGCACGTTAAACTACGCAAAACCAAATCTTGTTTAAAAACTGGTTTTAAAAGAACTACTGGATTTTCTGAAAAACATGTGATCAGTTTTCATCTTGTTGAGCGTTTTTTCACTAGTGCAACTTTGGATTTTTTATGAGAATTTTGGTACCTTAATGAACACCTCGCTCCATGCTGGAAGCACTAAGCACAAAGCTTTTAAAGACTTTCTGGCTTGACTAATTGAGGTCGCACTCGCCAAGGCTGAGGATGTGTAACCCTTAAACGGTCTTCATTTTCAAAGGTAAATAAATCAAATAAGATTTTTAATCTCACTTAATTTATCTTAATATAACTAATAAAACCAGGGAGATTACAACTTAGCAAGTTTCATTATCCATTTTAGAAAAGTTTTAAGATCACCTAAATTCTCATTTTAAAAAGTTTAATTTGTTTTAGTAATCTAAAAAGCCTTAGTTTAGTCAGTTTAATTGGGGCCAATTACTCCCTATTAAACAACTGTAAAACCTCATAACTAGTTATTTGTAATACATTATTTGGTTAGTAATTGAGGGCACTTCTTAAAACTGACAAATAGTTAATAAAGTTATTCTTTAATCATTAAGCTTTTTTAATTGTAGATTACGTAAAATGTTTAATTTTTATTTCTTGGGGGATTTTTTTCTCTTTATTTTGAGTAAAAAGGTCTTTTCTTTTGTTAGGAAATGTCAGCCGTCTTGGAATGTCACAGGAACTGGTTGAACACCTGAAGCAAACAAAGGTAAGTTTGCCTTTTTGTTCCAATTATCCTGAACTGTGTGGAAGATGAAGACAATTTCACGCTTATCTGAAGTCACATGGAAAATTTCCCCTGCTGATTTCCTAGTACAACACCAGTGATTATGTCAGATTAACTCCAAAAGTCAGAAAAGAAGCTTCCTGAATGTAAACAAGTCAGGCCCAGGAAGCTTCATTATAAGCGGCAGAGATTGGAGGCTCAGGTTCATCCTGGTATTTAAGTATTCACATTACTTTCTTCAGAAAATATCTAGCAGTCTAGTCAATAGCATGAAAAAAATTTTCCAGATTATTCAGTAAAAAGAGCAGTTTGCCAAACTTAATATATAACATCTCAATTTTTGTTTTCTATGTGCTTGCATAGGCAAAAAAAATTACACAAATATGCTGGAAATTTTTGACAGTATTTCTCTTAGTCTTGTGGAAGCATGGTTTTCTGTGCTTCGGAATTTTGTCTCTGTTTTTACATCTTCTTGGTTTTTCTCCTAAAGCATCAAAAAATACTACTTAGGCTGTGATCTTCCAGAGAGTCTTACTTTTTCAGTGTTTGTATTTGAGCTCTGCCAATAACTGTGACTTTGGGCAAGTCTCACTTTCTCTATCAGTTCAGTGAAAATGATGCTTATCCCATGCACTTGTTAGAATTAAGATAATATCGTCAGAGTGTTTTGTAAGCTGAAAGTGATACAGTCATGTAAAGTTTAGTTGTCAAAGTTGTATTTACATATTTAATATATATGAAAAATATATGACCTTGGTTTTCCCTAATAGCCAAAATTAGCCTGAAATAATTAAATTACTTTTAGAAAGAAAATAATTCTCATCATTTTTGTAGACCAAACTAAGTTTATTGTATTTTCTTTATGTTTGTCTGTTTGGATTTTTGTTGTTGTTTGTTTTTCTCTTGTACAGAATGGGAATGTGATGTCCACCACATCTTTGTAGTGTGTGATGTTACTGAAGTTTTTCACAACTTTTTTCTGTATTAAATAATTTTTTAAGGAGTTGGCATACAGAATAATAAATCCAGAATCATGGAGAGGTAGAGGGTCAATCCTCAGGTGCTCTTCAGAGTTAATTAATAGGAAATACTGTACAATTTTGTATTTCTTGTCATTTTTTCAAAGCATCCATAACTTTATCAGACTGTAAAAAGGGATTGTGATCCAGAAAGGTCCAGAACACTATCAGACAGGAACTTTCCTACTCGGCCTTCAAGATCTTCTCTTATCTAGCTGATGCTCCACCAGACCTGATTTTTTTCTATTTCCATAGGAAGACCCTGCTATAGATAAGCCTGTCTTCTCATGTCTCTAAGAGCACATTTCATTGTTCCCAAATTGCTTGCTTCTCACCTTTGTTTTTGCCCCCGTGGAATTCATTTATTTTCTCATATGACAGCATCCATGGAACATGAGCTCCATACTGGACACAACAGGGGCACTGGTCATACAAAGACTGATAAGGCATGGAACCCTGTATTCAAATACTGCAAAACCAGATGGAGGTGACAGCCCATAACACACAACTTGCTGTCGCCTGTATCTTTGCGTGAAGAAACCATACCCGTCCTTCAGAACTCAGCCCCATGCTCTCTCTTCCATGGTGCCCTCACCAGTTAAATCAGGCTATGATCCCTCCGCCCCCTCTAAAGAGCATACTTGGTTTATATTTCCTTATTTTAATATTGGTATCATATGATTTACATTGGTTGTAAGTTGCCATAACAGCCAAGCATGTGCTTATCACTTTCTGTAAATTATTTTATTGAATCCTCACAGCCATAAGAAGGTGTCATCTACATTTTAAAAAAGGAAGAAATTTAAGCTTCAGGAGGTGAATTTCACGCTTATGTTGCTCATGTACCTTATAACTGGTAGAGCCCCGATTTGAACGATTGACTTTAATCTAGAGTCTTTGATCTTAACCATGTTGTTACAGTGTCATTCTTTATATTACAGTGGCTCCTCCATTAGATTCACGGCTGTTTAAGAGAAGGAGCCTTTAATTTTTGTTACCTTGTTTCCCAGAGAGTATCTCACACAACGCTGAGCATCGTGAATGGTAACTGCCCCTTTCTCTCTCTCTTCCCTGCCCCTGCCCCAGATTCCTTCATGGAGTCTTTCACTTGTTTAGGTTCTGAATCTGCTTGTCTCAGGTATTCCAAGTCAAATCAGTATCCGTATTTACTCGGATATATCTCCCGAACACCTGCTGTGTTGCAGATGGCAGGAAGACAGTGATTAAGGACATCATTGTTGTCCTTGCAAGTGCCACACTCTACTGGGGAAACAGGCAGAGACGACGTCTGCAGAGCTCTGACAGAGATACACGTGATTTCTAGGCGCATGGAAGGGAGATGTGTCACCCCGGCAGGTTGGTCAGAGGTCGCAGAAGGGGCCCGTGGAGATATTAAGACCAGTAGAAGATAACCACACAGGGCAGGTCCTCTCGGAGCATCCATACTTCTTCTGCTCTGCCCTTCACCTGCTTTGTGACCTTGAGTCAGTGACTTAACCTCTCTAAACCGGAGTCTAAACTGCAGGTTCCCCAGACAGTCGTGATACCTACCTTAGTGTTGCTGTGAAGATTAAAAGCATGCCTGGCACAAATAAAGGTGTTCACTCATTGGTTGCTATATGTAAATATTTGCCATTATAAGAAAACATGATCATTGAGGAAACTTCAGGTATATTAGATCATTAGAGAAAGTAAGAGATGATGCTGGCTGGGTAGGAAAGGGACATGTAATGAAGGGTCTTGTAGGTTCTGCCAAGAAGCACAAATTCAGTGCATCCATTTTCAAGTGTAGTATCCTCCTTGCCTTTAAGCTTGACCTACTCCATTCCCTTGGGCAGATAGTGCCTCATTTAGTCTGTGTTCCAAAAAGAACTCTACGAACTTCTGTTTCCACTGGTTAGTGATTTTATAGACAATCAGTGCCTTAAAAAATAGGTGCTCTCACTTTTTCATCCTCTTGTAACCATCTCTTCACATAGTTATTTGACAGTGTAAGGGTTTAGTAAGTGAATGGCATTGTCAGCGTGATCAAGATGATTCCTAACCGGCAGTGTTAGGAACGGTCAGCCCAGACCCAAAAATCCCACACAATCGTGTGAACAGCACTACAATTTAGATAGTCTAGCTCCCTTGTTTAACTCAAAATTAAAGACTCTGGTCACTATATACAGAGACAGCTTCCAGAATTTAAAACTAATGATTTGAAGAAAAAATAAAACTGTAGAGCCAAAAGTTAAATGAAAATATGAGACATTTTATAGAATATGTGATAAATTTAAGGAATAAAGTTTATTGTTTTCTGCCAAACATTATCTCCTATTTATATTGATATTCAGTGTTTTGTAGGGATAGAAAGGAAAAAATCCATACTTATTTTTAAAAAACAATCTATTTTATGCCTGATTCTATTCTGATTGGGAAAGACTGCAGATCATTTTTCAGTCTGAATTTCACCCTCCCTTATCGATGGAAAATCCTGTCCGGTTGAAGTTGATTCTGACTGACATTCCTGTTTCAAGAATCTCTGTTGTATATTTCAGTGATTAGCACCCATTGCTGAAATCATTTTTCAGATCTTAATGTGATGAGTCCTTCAGTGACTTTCAGGATAAAACTCAGCCTCCTTGGCTCTGAACATCAAGCCCGGCGTGATTCTGCTGCTGGCCTCCCCAGCCGCCTGGAGCACAGCATGCTCTGACCCCACCCCACTGTGGTCCAGCGCTGATAGATTGAAAACCATCTAGAGCTTTTCTATCAGTGCCATTCTCCACCCGAAATCACAGTTCCTTACCCCACTCAAATAAATGAACACAAATGAATGAACACAACTCTCACCCAGCTCTTGGTCTAGCTAGTTGTTGCTGGCCTATCCAGACTTCCCAGTGGAACTTGAAGCATCCCCTCACCCTGGAGGCCCTCCCTAGCCCGCCATGTTCGCAGCTCTTCTGTGGACCCTCATCTTACTCTATGAATTCTGCAGTACAGTATCCTGAGATTGGCTGTTGACCCTCCTTTCCTCCCACCAGATTGTCAACATCTTTAGTGCAGTTACCCTGTCTCATGCCTAGTAAGTGATAAATGAACAAGCCATCGGATGTCTGAGTGAATAAAGTGGATGTGGTAGCTCGGTGGCTGATAGTACAGGACGATGTACTAGGTCTTGTTTGGCCTTATTAGATTAAGTTAGTCATCCTTACGTTTGAGGAGAACTTACCAGGTTATTAAGTTCTGTCCTGTGTGTTTATCTCATCTGAACCACTGCTGGCAGGATTTACGCGTCTGCTACCTAACACAGTTCCTAGTACCTAACAGACAGTCAAAACAAGGAGATAGAATAAACAAACAGGTACCACTGTGAAGTGTGCAGGGATGGTGGTGTTATCCTGAGGCTAGATTTCTGTTCTGTTTGTCGATGGGTTTTTCTCCCTGACTACAAGACTTGGAAGTTCCTTAAAGGTAGAAGAACCATGTCTTATTGGACTTGTACTTCCAAATACTAGCATACTGCCTGGCACATAGACATAGTGGGAACTGACAAGGTGTTCAGTGGGGAATGAATGAGTGAACAAATGAACCTATAATTCTTGAAACATTAACACTGAGCACTTTTCGGTACAGACAGTCGCTAATACATGTTCAGTAGAAACTGTACTTCAGATTTTGAATATGTATCTTTTCTGCAGCTAGCCATAGCAGTATGATACTCTTGCAATGCCAGGCACTGGCAGTGAGCCATTTTGTTTTTCACTTTGAGTACAGCATTCGGAAATTACTTGAGATATCAAACTTTATTATAAAATAGGCCTTGTGTTCGATGATTCAGCCCAACCATATGCAATGTAAGTGTTTTGAGTATGTTTAAGGTAGGCTAAGCTAAGCTATGATGTTTGGTAGGTTAAGTGTATTGCGTACATTTCCAACTTAATGTTTTTGACTTACAACGGGTTTACAGGACATAACCCCATCCTAAGATGAGGAGCATTTGTATTCATTTGTCTTCTTAGTGGAAGTGTGATGTTTCTCTAATCATTAGATTTTTTTCAGTGATAAATGTGAAGTTGGAAAACCAAAATATGTCCTTTATTTAGTCGGTAATACATGTGCTTGGTACAAAATATACACATACAGTGGTCTTAATTCCCACCTTTACCCCCACACACCCACAGGCAACTATTTGTAGTGATTTTCCTGTATCTTTCCCGAGATAGTCTCTGCATAAGTAAAGCATTTTTTTTTTAATTATCACTATTTTTTACATAGAAAACATTATACCATTTTCTCCCCTCGTTTTACTTTGAAGTATGTCTTAGAGCTCATTTTCTGTTATTTTATACGAGAAAGTTACCTTTTTCTTTGTATTGGCTGAATAATATTTCTATGAAAGAGCCATAATCCAAACAACTACTAACAGAGATATAGTTTCTAATATTTTGCTCCCATTAAAGGCAATGCAAGAAGCCATGTCTATAAACATCTGTGGAATGAATTGCTAAAGTAGACTTACTGGGATTTTATAGATGTTTCCCATAGAGGTCATGGTGCATCTTAATATGCTTTTGTAAAAGAAACCTGTCTAAATGCTGTATGTTTTCATTATGATCTACAACATTAGCTCCTGTGCCCACTCCAGAAACTCATCTGCCCAAAAGGTGGTTTAAAATGGTGTTCTATACCCAGCATGGCGTCTGGCATGTGGCAGGCTGGCTGCCTGTGCAATTTAGCAAGGATGCAGGGCGTGCTGGGTCCAGTAAGGGCACCTCCTGGACACTGGTCTGCGTCTTACAGGGAGAGCTGAAAGTCCTGTGACCCTTCCTCAGACTCCTGCTGGTCTCCTCTCATTCCTGGAGCTTATTTACATCAGCAAGTGTATTGTTAAGGGCTGTCCCGTGGTGGGGCAGGCTTTGTGGGACTATGGTAGCCACACTAGGGTAGCAGGAGAGGCCTACAGGCTCTCTGAGGAAACAGACAGGATCTCCTCTAGCACTGCCCTGCATGAGCATTGCCCACCCTCTCCTCTCCTCTGGTTATCCAGATCCTGCCATTTCTTCAAGATCTTTTCTCTCTCTCTCAGCCAGAAGAGCCTTCTCTTCTCTCCCCATGAGAACCGTGGCTGAGGGGACTCGATTGGCAGATGTCTCATTCTGACCTGCCGGTTGACAGTTTGGAGCTGTGTAAATGTCCTTCATCCCTAGTATGCTCCTTGAGGGTCACAGGTGTGTCTGTCAAATTTCATAAACCTTAAAGCCTTCAGCACAAGCCATTCAAGAAATACTTATTGGTTGATGAAAGCAGTACCCTCATCAATAGATTTAGTGTATTCAATGCGTAACTTTAAAAGATTCGCCTTTCAATCACAGTTTGCATCTGATTGATCCTACCAGTGCTGATGCTTTATGCAGGTGACACTGAGATGCCCACTGTGTCCCTGGCGCTCTGCAGTAATAAAAGGCTAGAGAAGGGCAGCAATGGTGCAGAGGAGAAAGAGAGGAACTTGCTCCAAGGACAAAGGAGGAAATAAAATCTGGAGTTTTGAAAGTCGAAATCTTGCAAGCCAGGAAGGGAGGAGAAAATGTTAAGACATAATAAGCTAATACAGGTGGGAGAGGAGGGTGTCAACCAAGACATGAAATGGCATCATTTGTTTTGGGAACATATAAGCAGCTGCTGGAATATAACGTGCTGGGAGAGAAATGAAAGAGATGCCTCTGGAGACATAGGAGGGGGCTGGGTCCTATGGAGCCATCAGCGGTGTCCTGAGTTGTTTTCAGCACACTTTGTGGTATTGAACAGTTACCTAGGGCCTGGGACGTGTGACCAGAGCCATGAGAAGTCAGCATCACCACAGTGGCCATTTCTCCACTGCGATTGGGTTTTTTGTCTGTCTGTTTTTCTGATCACCAGCCAGTTTTTTAAATAACAGTTTTGTTTCGTATAGCACATCAAAAAAGGTTCTTTGGGTTTAGGTAATAAAATTTAAAATATATCTGAAAGTTCAGTCTCTTATCAGGTGACAAGAATGCAAGGACTCTGCCAGGGTGGACCCCTAGGAACTTATAGGTTAATATTTGAGGTTTTATGTAAAACAAGGCATTACCATTCTGAAATCACTCCATAAATACCATAATGGATAGTAGTGTAATCATCATTAAACCAGTTAATCATTCATCTGTCTTTACTTAACACAAATATTTTATGTCCTTAATGTTAATGATTCTGTTTTGCATTGTTTTCCATAAACATCCTTATTTCTGTTAAGTGTCTACTTGCCTGTGTCCTCTAAACGCTGCCATTCCCAAAAGAGCATATGGTTATTATTAATTTCTTGATATATACAAATGTATTTCATTTTCCTCTCTTTCAGGAACTTTCCTTCTATTTATGGACTGCTTAAGAATAGTCAACTCACCAACGTGCCTAGTCAGTAAATGAATCCACTTGGGAACTTGAAAAACATCTTAATTAATTTTTTGTTTGCATAATTTTGTGTTCTGTGACTTGTTTTTATTATATGGTATGCTTTTAATTTGGAGAATCTACTTTTTTGAAAAACGGAAAGAAAATCTATCTTACTTTGTTGTCTCCCAATAACAAAAAGAGAATGATTTGTATAGTAGTTAATAAAGGCTGCCTATTGAAATCTCTTCTACTTTAAACCTAGAAAAACAAAGTCTTGTTATTTCAGCACAGCTCTAAATTGTGTACACTTGAAAACCGTGTACAGCTGCAACTCACTGCAAGAAGTCAAGATTCTACACATATTCCACATTTGAAAATGATTTATCCATCTCAGTTATAGACCAATAAATATGAAAGCATTATGCAAAAAGTATTCTGTCACATAAAAGGTTAATTATAAAGGCTTCTGCAGGAAGCAGAGTGGCATAGTCAGAATAGAAACGTGATTTTCATGCCTCAGTGTAATTTGTTATGGAACACAAAGGTCATAATCCCTGTGGACAGTATTATTCTGTTCATTCTCTTTTCATCATTTACTAGTGCATTGTGATTTTAATTCAATACGCCCTGGGTGGATGTGTTTTATTTCTTCTGTTAGAAGCTCGCGCAACATGTTCCCTGGACTTGGAATTTCAAGAACTGTCTTGCACATTGTTAAACTGCCGCTTTCTCGCCTCAAAGACACTTTTTTTTGAGGCATTCACTTTTTACAGCATGCCATGTTTGGAGCATTGTGTTAACCGCAGAATGACTTCAAATAGCTTAGCTTTTTCTTCCTCATATGCATCCTAAAACATAATTCTTTTGTACCTTTTAAATGTGTCCAGTACACATTTCCCCATCTCAGAAACGCATGGAATACAAGCCCGTGTGTTAGAGCAGTGGCTCTCTGCAGCGAGTGGGGCTGCAAGAGGGAAGGGTGTGTGTCTGTCATGAGGGCGAGCTCAGGGGGGCTACAGACAGCAGGGGAGCAGCTTCAGGCACCCTTTGGTTCGGAGTTAATTTTAAACAAATAAGAACTTTAGAACATAAGCCAGACTACGGTAAACGGAAAAGAATTTGAACCTTCTTTTTGCTTGCATCCTTTTTACCTGCTGAATCACTAATACAAATCACAAATCTACCAGTAAAATCCCATGGATTCAAACCTTCTGGCCTACCTTCTATCTGTCCCCTTCTCCTTGATCCCATTCCTACAACCTTAATTTTGGCTTCTTTTACTGCCTGCATTCTTTAATTCATTAAGCACATTATTGAGAACTTAACTGCTGGGTACTGTCTTACATACTAGAGAGAGAGCAGAGAAAAAAAAAACTGAGGGGGTCTTACCCTGGAGAAGCTTAGATCCCCATGGGAGGCACAGGCCACACACCACGAGAATGTCAGGTGCTGATGGAGCCATGGAGAAAATTAGACCGTGGTAACAGGAAGAGGGGCTAGACTTTAGTTTGAGTAGGCAAGGTAAACATTTTAGCAGGGACCATAAAAAGTAAAGAACTAAGCTCCATCAAGAGACGAGCAAGTGCAGAGGTCCTGAGGTGGGAGCGTGCTTGGGCACTTGAGGACCAGCAGTAAGAATGCCAGAGCAGAAGTAACGGAGTGAGCAAGGGACAAAGAATTAAATTAAATCAGTGGACTGGTTGGAGGCCAGAGAATAAAGGGCCAGTGTTGAGCTTTAATGAGAGCTGTTGGGCAGATGGGAGGAGGAATTGACAAGCACAGGACTAGTGTGATCCAATGTGTATTTTAACAGAACCACTCTGGCAATGTCTGAGAATAGGCTATGGGGCAAGGTGGAGAGACCCGTTGAAGGCCACTGCTATGAACATAAGAAGGAATGCTAGCACAGTCCGGGGTGTTAGGGTGTAAACACTGAGAACTGGCCAGACTTCAAGTGTATTTTGAAAAAGTAAAGCCAGTAAGATTTAGTGCACAGATTGGTTGTGAGATATGAAAGATAAGTTGGATGATCCAAAGATTTGGGTCCAGAGGCGCTGGAAAACTAGAATTGCCTCTTTCTGAGATGGGGAGATTTTAGGAGGACAAGGTGATTATGTTGAGTTTTGAGATACAGATCTGGAGGTGGGAGAGACCTCAGCTGGAGATAGCAATTTAAGAGCCATCAAAATATAGATGTCATTTAAAGCTGTAGTTTGAGTGGAGATCAGAGAACAGACCCATGGAATGTCACATCGTTTGTAAGTCAGTGAGATGAAGAGGAACCAGAAAAGGAGACCAAGAAGGAGCTTCTGTGAAGGAAGAAGAGAACTTAATGCCCTGGAAGACAGCAGAAGAAAGGATTTCAGGGAAAGGGATGCGATCCTTTGCTGCAGATAGATAGGTCAAGAGAAATGAAGAGTGAAGATGGGACACACACAGTAATAACAGAAAAGTCATCGGTAGTCTTGATTTACTTCATAGAGCAAAGGCTTGGAACAGGTTCAAGAAGAATGGGAGGAGAGGAATTAGTCTAGTCAACTCTTTCAAGGATCTTGCCTTAAGGAATTGTTGGAGAGGGGTATAGAGTTGAGAGAAAAAGCTTTGAGCATGTAGGAGAGAGAAGTGAGGGTTGCTGGAAAGATGCCCATGAGCAAGTCTGTGCACATACATTATTCTGTGCACGCACAGCCTAGGTGGGTGCAGAAGCAGGAAGGAAGATAAGACAGAGGGCATAGCACGTGCACTCACCATGCCGGTAGGTTCCACAGTTCTGCTGCTGCCAAAGCTGTATGACACAGACATTAAATGGTGCACGCTCCACCATGACCAAAATCCTTCAGAGCCTCCTACAGCTTCCAGGCTAACTTGCAGATTCCTTGGGTTATCACGCACATTCCTTCATGATTTTCCTCCTATGTACCTCTTTAGCCTAAAATTTCCACTGTGGCAACTACCTAGAATATTACCTAGAATAACTAACTAGGTAAATTCTAACTTCTGTGCCATCTTGGCATTGCTATCTGTCATTTTATTCAGGATTTTCCTGGTCTCACTAGGATGAGTGATTTTTAACCAGAACATGGACATTTTATGTATTAAGTTATGAGATTCTGGATCATATTAGATGGCCTCCTTAGGGCTTTGGTGAGGGAAGGGAGGTGCTGCCTCATTCCTGCCAGGTAAAAGGAGAAACAGTCCAGGTTCCCCATTTGGCCTCTGTTGACAAGCGGAGGGGGAACGAAGGCCTTCTTGTTACTGCTGGGTAGGTTCCAGGTCTTAAAAAGCTGCCACTGATACCAGCATGACTCCACTGGCATGATGTGTGGGGGTGTGACAGCCTCATTACCACTGAACAGTGGATGATAAAACTGACTCTCCACTACGCCTCTCTGTCACCACCTCAGCTGGGAGGGAGTAGGGTGTCCCCTTCCTGCCAGTTGGAGGTCCAAGTTTTTCCCAGTGTCCACTGACACTGTTGGGTGTCATTGCCACCAAGCCGACATGAAGGTCCTGGCTTTCTACTTGGCCTCTCTGGCACCAGGCGCTGTTCCACACCCACGTGTATTCTTCACTAGAGCCGCTGGGTTGCTGCTTGTAGCGCTTCAGATTGGCTGATCTTTTTCACTTCTTCACATACATCCTTTTAGCTGGTCCACCTCACTCTGCTTCCTCTAACTCAGTGATTCCCAACTTTTTCAGGGCATGGCACATAAAGAAAATTATAATATATACAGAACTCTTTGGGGTGAGTGGAGGAGACCCAGAGCTTATTAACCGTAACCCAGCCCCAGGCTGCACCAGAAGCTGAGGAAAATCCGTGTTTTGTACACCTTGCACCCATTCACAGCACAGTGATTTGGAAGCTCCAAGATTTTAGCCAACTCATTCTTCAAGACTTAGCCCCAGAAACTCTAACCCACAACACCCCATACCTATGTCATCGGACTATGTGAGAGTCATCCTCACAGTCTCTGTCCTCCCACTAGGTTTTACAAACCCTTGTCTTAGTGCCTTAGGGCTGCTATAACAAAATACCAGAGAGTGGGTAACTTAGTAACAATAGAAATGTACTGCTCACAGTTCTGGAGGCTGGGAGGCCAAGGTGCCAGCAGATTGAGTGTCTGGTGAGGACTTGATCTCTGCTTCAAAGATGGCACCTTCTGTGTGTCCTCACATGGCAGAAGAGGACAAAAGGACGGGAGCCTCCGTGAGCCTCTTTCATAAGGGCACTAATCCCATTCCTAAGGGCAGCCCTCATGACCTAGTCACTCTTTTTTTTATTTTTTTAACCAGGTCTTGCTTTTGTTCTGTCACCCAGGCTGACATGCAGTGGTGCAGTCATAGCTTGCTGCGGCCCTGAACTCCTCAGGTCCCACCTTTTAGTACTATCACATTGGATACTAGGTTTCATCATATGACTCTGGGGGGACATCAACATTCAGACCACAGTATTCTACCACTGGGCCCCCAAAATTCATGTCCTCACATGTATTCATTTCACTCTAGTGACCCCAAAAGTCTTCACTTTTTCCAGCACTAACTCCAGAGTCTGAAGTCCACAGTGTCATCTAAATCAGATATGGTTGAGACTCAAGGTACAATTTATTCTGATCCAAATTGCTCTCCAGCTGTGAAATCAAACGTGGTTCCAAAATACAATGGTGGGACAGGCATAGGATAGGCTGTTCCATTCCAAAAGGGAGAAATAGGAAAGAATAAAGGGGATCCTGACCAAATCCAAAACCCAGCAGGGCAAATATTTGATCTTAAGGCTTCACAATAATATTTAACTCAAAGTCCTACATTCTGGACACACTGGGGTGGAAGTTGGGCCTCCATGGATCCACGGGGCTCTACCTCCATGGCTTTGCTGGGTGTAACCCACATGGCAGCGCTCACAGGTTAGAGTCTCACGCCTGTGGCTTTCCCACTGGAGTTTCATGCCAGTAACTCCACCAGTCTAGGGTCTCCAGGGTGGCCCTGCTCCCACAGTTACACTAGGTATTGTATTAATGGGGGCTCTTTGCTGTGGTCCTGCCCCCACCCACAGTTCCACTAGGCACTACCACCTCCCAAGAGCTTCAAATGCCTTCAGGGTGATTCTTCCATTATCTTGATGAAATGCACCAGGCTTTGCCCATTCATGCTAATCTCCTTACCAAGTTGTCTCTTTGCTACACCTTCGGTGTGAGTCTCTCAGGAACACATTTTCTTATTCTCTGCAGGCTGAGATGTTTCCAAATTTTTGTTCTG